GATTAGTTTCTTTGTTATTTGGTTATCAACAGATTTTTTTGAATTTTTTTATCATCGAATGGGACATACAATTGATGTTTGTTGGAATGTACATAAGTCGCATCATCAATTTTTCAATCCAACGCCATTTGCAGTCATTGCTGATGAATACTTGGATCAATTTGTACGTGCGTTACCATTAGTAGTTTTACCTGCTTTGATGCCAGTTAATATGGATTTATTATTTTTTCAAGTAAGATAATTAGACTATTAAAGAATGAAACGAAAAGTCATATTTTCTATTCTAGTTTGCAACATTTTTCTATGGCTATGGTATTTATCTTCATTGGGGTCATGAATTTTCTTATCCAGATGCTCATCATCCTATTATTAATACATCGTTTCAACATTATTTACATCATTCTATTTCAATTAAAAATAAACCTTATCATACAGGATTTTATTTTAAAATTTGGGATCAGTTATTTGGTAGTATTTATCCAAGAGAAAAATGTTTTTGTGTTAAATGTCAAAAACAACAAGGATTACGTACACAGGATGAATTTAATAAAATAGAAAAACCAGATTATAGTGTTTTGTTAAATTGGAATTTTTGGTTTAATGAAAAACAAGTTTAAATTTCAACTTTTTTTGTGAAGAAAAGAGTTTTCATAGATGAAATAATTGAATATTTATTTTTAAAATAAATTTTATTTAAATAAACAAGTCAAATAAAAATAAATCTAGCTTCTATAGAAGTAGTCAGCTATTCGTTTGACAAAATTTTATCCATATATTTTCGACATCATGTGTTTTGGAATTGTAGATATTATTAAGTTTAATAAAAAAAAGTATCCTAATTAGAGCCGAGTCCTGATTTATTAATAAAAACTGATATTGTTTTTGTAACTACTACAGTAAAAACAACGATAATAGCTACTTCTACTGCTTCATTGAAATATTCTGTTGAATTTGATAGAAAAAATAGAAAAGTTATGATTATTTCATTTTTTGGAATTGTGTAAATAGTTTTCTAAGAGTAGAGAAACAGTATATTCACTGAAGGATAACCATCATTTCTGACTTTCGTACATCACTAATGATCATATGAAATAGCATACTGTTCCAGTTCTGATCTTTACGTTAGTTCACATATTCGTAAATTGATTGATATTATCAATACTACCACCAGAAATAGATAATTCTAATACATTATCTAATACTGCTTCAACAGGAGCAGGTATATGGTGTTCGATAAGTCTTTTTATTGCTATGATATTTATGTATCTTCCTGGTAAATATTTAAAATTAATTTATACAGTAATTCAATTTATTTTCTTATAGTATTCATCTATAATTGTTTAAATCTTTGAGCAACTTATACTTTAGCAACACATTCAATTGCATTTATTTTTATTTGTATTTTAATTGGTTTGGATGCAAATGTAAGTACTCAATATAATACAATGATAGGACAGCTCCAACTAAAATTCATGCAAGTTCTTAAAGCGCAATTAGCCATTTCTATTCTAATGCTTCTATTTCCCATATTTTTTCTAACAATTTATATTTATACAGCGTTCATAATTCTTCATATTCGCCGGGCACATCCAAATTTAGTTTATCCACCTATTCCATATCCAGCAGGACTTGTCAAAGATTAACATACGATTTTTTAAAAATATTTGTGTAATTTTTATTTACTGTTCTAAGTAGGATAATTCGATTTTTGAACTATATATTTCTGACTAAAATCATATTTTAACGTTATATTAACACAAATAAAAATAACCACTAAAATTAAAATGAATATTTTTAATCTATATTTGTTCAAGTTCATGATCCCCATTAGAGTTTTCACGTTTATTTAAATTGGGAAATACTCGTGAAGAACGTGTGAAGA